TTCATGCTATCAAAAACTGTGCCAAAGTACTGTTAGGCAGGCGTTAAATTTATAGCAATGGCAGAAGACAAACTGAACTGATTTTCCATAAATTTTTTATTCGTTCCATCGTGCCTACTTTCAAAACCTTACTTTTCGCCATTTGGCTTTCGTGCGGACGATGCTGCTTAAATCCCACTGTATGACAGGGTTGCGTAGCATACCGCATTCAGTAACGGCATAGCCCTACTCATCTTCTCTGTGTAAAGAAGTCTGTACTCACCGATCCGGTTCTTCAGTTTTCTGCTGGTTTCTTTAAAGTAGCTCTCCCCGCACGAGCTTTTAACCCATTTACTATCCCAACGTCCTCTTCTTGTACAGGAGACTGCTCAGCTTCTTAGGGAATCTGCAATCCGCCATTATTCCGTAGACGTAATTAAAATAATAATTTACCAACTTATGACCGTCTCTGAATGCTCGAAAAACAGTTATTTCTATTTCGGCACCATTTCGCCCTGCTCATCACGGAAAATTAGTTTTCTGCGTGCGTTTTAGTTTTAGCATTCCAGATTACGTGGTCTGCATAAACCGCATATGGACAACACAATCTGAGCAGAGAGGCTGTTTAGGGGGCCGAAACCAAAGCTCCAGTAACATCGAGTTTTTTCGTTGCTGATAACTTTGCAAAACACAATTCGCCAATGCCATAAGAGGGTCATTCACTACTGTATGCTAGAGATCAGGAGGTTAGGTAGTGATCACGTGCGAGAACGAAAGAAAACAAACGACGAACCACATGCTACCGTAGACGACGCCAACGAACACCTGATCTATCGGCGGTTTACAACGCATCGAAGGGCCCTGGCAATTAATATGCTGTTAGGTTCTTGTCCATCCTTTGTCCGTCGTCTGTTTTTTGTCGTCCATCTTGGACCGATCGATGGATCAAGGACAGAAAGATTTTCCTGGAACCTAGAAACAGAAACGATTAGTCAGAAAAGGCATGCGCTCGGGAAGACCCCACACGTCACGACTTTGCACGAGAATCACAAAAACAACACATCATTACATGGTGATCGAAATCGATACTGCTGACAACATCCGTCGTTGTACAGTGGCGAGAGACACGCCATGCCAAAGGTAGGCGAATAAATTCTAGAATTATTAACTCTACGAGCGTAGTCACATGAGAGGTAGTCACGGTCCTGCAAAAAAGACAGACGAAGAACGTGAAAGAGAAGATCGGTCGTCAAAGCAATCGGCACAAGCCTTCGATCTGTGGACGACTGCCGGCCGCTGATTCCGACGTCCGTCAAAACACGTGATTAAAACAATAGAAAAAGTACAAACTACTCTTTAGCGCAGTTCTTTACGCAATCGCTTTCGCCTCATTGAAGTTAATATGCATAGAATCGAAAATGTAGAAGACGGTTATCGTTCTTATGTGTGCTTTGAACTCCGACGCTAAGCTAAACCAAACGCCCCACCACCACCACCACCACCATTACCAAAAAGGACATAAACAACGAGCACGTGTGATTTTATGAACATCACGAAGGCAGGGCGTAGCTGCACACGTAACAGCAGCCGCAGTTCAGACACATACACCGAAACAGACGGCAAATGCGGCATGACAAATCAACGCCACTCCCATAGGGCGTGGGGAGCATGAAAAGACTGACATTGCAGTTCATTTTTATAGCCCGCTATTTATTTCTGATCCAGGATATAAGGGACTTTGGAAATCGAAGCGTTTTCCGGTTCGCCCTCCAAAGGACGAACGCCATGGTCCAGACCTGCAGAAACGTAACTGAGGATGGAAAGGTCTGCTCTGGCATCTTCGCCACATGTACTGAATAGAATTATGTATGTACAATCAACAGAGTACCACACAGGCGAAAAACTCATTTAATACCAGCTTTCACAGACACGATATCTAACAGAAAACAGTGGCCATGGTTACACTTTTCTTCAAGATCACTGTTTTATCCAAGTTATTATCTTCACCTCCCACTTCAAGATAACCGAAATACTTTATTACTACCTTCTAACATGCACTTACTCCCCCTTTCTCCCCCGTCATTATCTATTTTAGGTCGGATTCAATGTCGTCTGCAAATCTGGAAAGGCATCACATCAAGGAATATAACATCTTGAATAGTTGCTTAACCCTTTACAATAAACGACATTCTTAAAAACTAGGCCATTTACAAAATGGACAGTAGAAATTGCCGAAAGATAGTTACATTGGTATTAAACAAAGATCTGTTAAAAGAACCTATGAGAATATATGGCAAATTTCAAGCATGGACATTAATAATATTCTGCTACTATGAATCATGCTATTGAAAACCTACACTGTATTGATACCAACAACACTGCCGGTCTTATGATACGAGAATTCGAACATCCTCATTAACGCATCTGGCATATTATGCGTAAAGGCCCTGGGTTACGATTCAAATAAGGTATCACCTGATTTGGACTTTATCCTAAATAATTTTAATTCAGTGACCTAATTTTTTTCATCTATTT